CTTTCTTGGCATGTTCATAAATAGACTTCCATTCTCAAATAATTCGCCAGGTGGTAGGGGAATTTGAAAGTCTGTGATCAATTGATCAGCAACCATGGGTGGCTTGTCAACTTTTTTCTTTTTGTCTGTTTAGTTAGAATTCTGAATTCTTTGTGACAGAAGTAATTAGCTCCAATATTAATTTTTGCTTCCGATTTCGTATCGCTCTTCTGACTTGCGTCTTTTCCGATATTGATAATCATGTTTCTTGTTGTTTCTCGCTGAGTTGAGAGATTTTGTTCCTCTTTCTTCGAAACAACTTTTGCTTGAGAATTTTGAAAAGGAATATTTAGAGCTGCTTTTTTGTAGCTGTATCTTTGATTTTTTGTCCTTAACTTTATTTTGTAATTTTTAATTTTAAGCTCAAAAAAATATATGCGTCTTGTACGTTTAACATCGTCAAAGATTCCATTCTTACATTTTTTTTCCTGTAACGTCAAAGTATCTTCAGTAGATTGCCGTGGTTAAAAAATATACTTAGAGCATATTCTCAGGTATCTAATAAATGAGGAGATGTAAACACCACAGAGGTGATAGCGGAATATTACTTTTAAAATTATCAAAAATGACGATGGAAAAATCCCTCATGTCAGTAGAACATCCAAATATACGATATATCCCGGTGAGCTTGAAATATAAGATACTTGTTAAACAGAGTCTGACAAATCTATTTCATAATTAGACAGGGTTTATATCTCTCAGTTGATTCAGTAGGCTGTATTTTCTACGTATGAACAAGTTTTAAAACGAGGTAAGTTATTAAGGTCTTCCGTCTTCACGGAAGACCTTATAGTGATTCTACTGTTTCTTATTATTATTATTTTTCCGTACATCTAATTTTGTGCACGCGATTTCTCGAAGACTACAGGATGGATTTTCATGAAATTTGCAGGAACAATGTGTTGTTATCTGAAGTTATTTTATCCGAGAGATTTTTTGGAAATTCCTGTCTGGTGCCAAGTTACGGACAATTTTCTGATTTTAAAATGACATTTTGTCCGCGGTTAATCTCAAGAACGGTAAAAGATATCACTGTAAAACTTTCAGGGATTATAGATCGTGATAAGTACTACCCAGGACGCAATTTTTTGTACGTCGTCTCTACTTCCTGTCGATACTGCAGGCGAATTTAAAAAGTCGAATTTTTCAACTTTTTGTTTTTCAATATTTTTGAATTATATTAAAATGGTGAATAGAAACCTTTTCAATTAGGCTGAATATATAATTTGTTTTTAAATTGATAAATCCAAACTAGAGATATTAACAATCAAAAATTTGAAGCGGGGCCAAAATGGCGGAGGTCTCTGTCAACTCCGACATTTCGCAATAGGGGTTTACAGAGGCAGCCGAGCGTTTGCTTGAACAAAAGTAACATAAGGAGCAATGAAATGTGAAGGAATACTTGGATTGTCACGACATAGGTTCGTTGCAATTCTGTGTCAACCTACATTTATAATTCGAGGCCTCCTTACACGTCTTCTTTAATTGGTTTTAGTTGTTTATCAAAATAGAAATAGAAAAGAATTAATATGCAAATGAAGTACAATACCTACTATCTTTTGTTTTGCATCATGGAAACACATAGCTTAAATCGTACATGTAGTTATAAGTAATAGTTTTTCAAGATACAATATATATATATATAGTAAGTATAAAACGTGACCACTGTTTTCCCATGCACACTTGTGTCATATTAAATGAATAGAAAAGACAATTGTTACAATAAGAATTTTTAAAAAAAGAAAAAAAAAAAGGACAACTATTTTTAAAAGACCGTTTAATTGTCTTCATATAAACATTTTTTTTTCTCAATGCAAGTTTTTGAACATAATTGAATCTTATTCCTTGACCCTCGTAGGGCGATCGAGGCATTTTTTTTCGGTGAAACACACCACCTTTTTCATGAAAGTGTAGGTAACCGGAATAATTCACTTTGTGATTAACAGGAAAATTAAAAAAAAAATCAACCATCTCACCTATTTAATAGAACATTCCAAGGGAAAGGCGCTAAGATTTACTCGTGGCGTTTGGCGCGAAATTATGAATAGTGACCCTCCATTCATAATCCCAAGACAGATTTGCAGAATTACATGTTCATACAAGCGAATTTAGAGAAGTTGTTCAAATAGCGTAATCGATAAGCGTATCGGATTTTCACGCTAGTGACCCGTTTGACAGTATGACAGTGTGTCGAAAAAAATGTTTAATAGATTTTCAGCTGCAATCGGACGGAAGACCTCTCGTTGCTCGCAACGAGATCGTTCCTAGTTGACTAACAATTTGCTGAAACAAGAATATCAGCAGTCTCGTTGAAAGTCATCATTTGTAAGTTCTACGGTAGATGCAATGACATTTTCAGCAAATACAATTTATCACCCAAGGAAGACTGAAGTTTTTCATACTAATTGCTTGGCCTTTTATACACACTGACTTATCAACGGATTTTCCGTTATTTTCCGATCATGACAAAGCATATTGCGGGTGTGACTGGTCGACAGGGGATGCACACTCCTCCATCGCATCTGATTCCACCTCAGATCGATGTTTAAAAGGTCCATGTTTGCTCTGCTCTTATTTTTATATTGTTAAATGGACTATTGAACTTGAATACTTTCATATATAAACATCCTTTTATATTTAAAATCCTGTAAGTTATGTGCGTTTCATTCCAGGATACTTGCTCGGAGGAGTTTATCGAAAGTTACACAATCCAATTAGAAAAACCTTAAGAACCCTTGCCTCTCCATTCTCAGGGATGGTAACGCAGAATAAAGGGGAAGGTTCTTTTAATTTAACGTGTATCAAATGGGAAGAAAAGGATGAGGGAAAACAGTTTGCTTACAATCTGCTGTCTTGATGGGATTTTGATTATGTATATGAGAAATTATTATGTCTAGACTGTATGCATTGCTAACTTTGATGTATCTGTTCAAAACGTGAAGAACATTTGGTTTTTGTTCTTCACTGTCTTTTATAGAATCCCAGCTCGTTGTTCTATATCACCAATTCTTCACTGAAAGATATTAGAGTCATTCCAATTATTTACATTGGAATTACCTTAAAGTACTTTTTTAATGACACCTTTTATCGAGATTTCTCGGAAAGTTTTGAAAAAACAGATTTTTATGAATTGGGAATTTTCAAGTATACCTTGTGGAAAGACTTAATTTTATTCTTTGCACTCGTGAATAGGAAGTTTGAAATCTGCATGTGAAGGATAATACTTTTCATTCAAAGACATATCATCTTATATTTATTTTCAACCTTTTTTGTTGTTGTTCAAGGAGAAAAATAATTTTCTTTCATAATTTTCATCTTTACCAATGATTTTATTTCATTTTACTTAAAAATTGGTTCTATTTACATTCACAAAATTGAAGTGCTGATAAGTTAGTAAGCAGAGGTTGTCCTACCGTTAATCTGTGAATTATGGAAGCGCATTAGTGCCACTTTATAGTTTTTACAATAAAAAAATGTCTTAAATTCAAATTTTACCAAATGTTATCTTTGCTTTCCAAACTTTTATCTGCTCTTTTCCAACTTCATTGTGACACTAAGACACTTCTGTTGTAAAAAGATGTTTTCGTGTGTACCTTTCTGGATAAATTAACAGTGACATTTTAAATGATAATAGAACGTACATGGCAAAAGGGAAAATATTTTTTAAAAATAAAAATATTTTATATGTACAAACAGACTATGAGACAAAAAAATTAACATCGTGCACCAATTTTAAAATCAATATCAATATGTTTCAAACATCATGTGCAATCAACAGTCACTGTGAATCAAACACTCAAGAAATAGTTGTGTAGGTGCGAGGGTATTTACATTTGGTCGTATTTTAGGCTCCAATAAGTACAATTAACTTTTTTACGTACATGTCTACAGCAAAATTCAATGATTTTCATATGGTATTAATGATATGAAAAAAGTCCCGCACAATGAAATCCTTCAAATTATATGCATTTTTCTCCATCTTTTTCTTAATATAAAAAGAACTAAGGTTTCTTGGCAAACTACTCGACAGGTAGGTTAAAAATACAATACAACTGAATAAGCTGAACTGCAATATGTCCTTCAGAGGTTAATCAACAAACACCATTCTGAACAAAGAGCAACAAGATATACATACATAATCATTTAAATTTTTCACAAATACAAAAAGTAAAAAGTGGACTTAATTTTTTTTTTTTTAAGAAGAGCATCGATGCATTGTAACATTAAATAGCACTGTTATTGCAATAAATAAATCTATGTCAAGTTTACAAAAGGACGTGCACAGTTTAATGGGATATACACAAAGATCCCAGAAAGGTAAGAAAGTATGTCACTTTCCGAATTTTTCATATTTTAGGCATTTTTTTTTTTACTTTATATAACATTTGGTTTCAGAAAACATAGAGCACTAACTCGCCTATCTACCATATTTATATATTTTTAATGCACTAGTTTCAGATGTTTTTGTACAATAATCTCAGATAAGCAATCTTAAGATTGTGCTATATAAAAGTATCTCAATTTTCACGAAATTCCATCAAAATTGATAAAATTTGGTAAGTTGTCCAACTTGACTCCCTCCATTTGCTTAACTGTACTCTTTTAATTGAATTGTTACTGGTTTTGAACTACGCAACCATTAGAGTTCCTAACCGCAAATTAAAACAATTTTAGCTGAGTTTTGATTTTTAGTAAAATTAGGGGCCAAAATAGGTAGTAACCATACCTTGTCCTTTCTAATCAATGAAGTAATATAATCTAAAGCTTTACCTTTTTTTTTCGAAAAAAAGAAAAATATTTATTTATTTGCCCTGTATGCTTATCTCCTAATTAAAGTTACTGAAAGTACATAACCCAAAGCCTCAAAGATTATACTGAAATACAATTTTTTAAGATAAATTTAAAAAATCGTATTTTTGAAAGCATAAAACATTTCATTTCCGAAAAACACAATGCCTGTTAGGAAAATAGATGTGATTTGATTTCCTCATGTGATAAAATTTAATTAACAGATCTAAGTTTAAAAATATGTGCTACAACGTATTTTTTCATAAAGTGACCCTTCTCAATATTTTTAAAATTTAGATACACCACAGAAGATTTGTGCTGTGTATAAACTGTGAAATACCTGAGATATTACCTGTAAAAAAAAATATGCATCACAACAGACCTTCACCATTGCCTTAATTCTTTCAAATTTTGTTATGTTCTTAGCATACGTGTGTAAGGATATGCTTTCACCATGACTGATTAGTTTGAACATTTTTACATATTAATACATTTTATTACATTTAACGATCTGCAAATTTTTAATTTTTAGAACTCTAGCATACCAGCCAGGTCCATGAACGAGTCCATTTGTTTCATAAACCTTTCAAATTCAGATACGAATTCCTTCATAGGTTGGTTGCTTCTGCGTTCATTCACATAGTCTTTTTGGAAAGAGTTTTTAAATATTTTCTGATTTAATTTTTTCCTATCAGGATCTGGGCTTGCTGTTTTCTCCCCAGGTGGCTCTGGTGGTTTCCTGACATTAGTTGGTTTCTTAGCCTTCTTCGCTGCTAATTCCTGTTTCCTTTTCATTATATGCTTTAGTGGATCGAACTTGACGGGCTTGGGAAGATTTCGTTTTCTTGGTCTAGGTTCTGGTTTATTCACCACTGGAATAACTGTGGTATCCACAAAGTTCTGAGTTGGTGGTGTCGGTGGTTTCCGCATGGAATCTCTGTTAAATTGTGGACCTCCATTGTGACGATTTCGAGGATAGTTAACATGCATGGGTTCAAACGGACCATGATCCTGCGCGCCTACAGGGACCTGGTTTAACTTGTTAGGTGCCTTGGTCAAATACGCAGGAGGAGGTTGTGGATAAGGTGCTATGTTCTTCGGACGAGAAAATCTGCTATGTTTTCTTGCAACGATAGGTGGTTGAGGTATAACGCCACTCAGTGGAACTTTTGTTTGAATGTAATTCATCTGAGCTCTATGGTTTAGTGTATTTTGATTGCTTCCAAAATGGTTTGTTTGGGTATGAATTCTATTCGCTGGTGTAATAAGAGGCGGAGTAGGTACATTCCATGGAGCAGGTGGATTAGGGATATGGTGTCTTCTAAATCCACTAGGTGGTGGGGGAGGTATAAATCCGGGTCTAAAATGTCCCGGGGGCGGCGGGTGTTGGTTAAAATGCTCAGAAAGCGAAACTCCTACGCTTACTCCAGTAGGCTGGCTTGGTTCACGCATATTGTGAATCGCACCAGACGAAAGGCCAGTATTTTTAGCAATAGGATGTGGCTCCAAAGGTTTCTTTTCTATATTCTTCGTTTGTTGCTGTATAACGGTGATAGCTTGATGCAAATCTGGTGGAATAATATCGCTTTTTGCAATTCCTCTTTTTCTTTGCACAGACTGAAACTTATCAAATAAGCTTTTATGTTTTTCTGGCGGGGTTTCCACGGGAAATTTTCTATCATTTGTAATTGAATTGACCACTATTTCTGCTGGATTATGAAATTCCTTTCTTGGCAGGTTCATAAATAGACTTCCGTTCTCAAATATTTCACCAGGGGGTAGGGGAATTTGAAAGTCTGTGATCAATTGATCAGCAACCATGGGTGGCTTGTTAACTTTTTTCTTTTCGTCTAGTTTTGTTAGATCTGAATTCTTTGTCACAGAAGTAATCGTATTAGCTCCAATATTAATTTTTGCTTCCGATTTTATATCGCTCTTTTGACTTGCGTCTTTTCCGATATTGATAATCATGTTTCTTGTTGTTTCTCGCTGAGTTGAGAGGTTTTGTTCCTTTTCCTTCGAAACAACTATAGCTTGAGAATGTTGAAAAGGAATTTTATAGCTACTCTTTTGACTTGCCTCATTTCTGGAATTGATAATCATGTTTCTTGTTGCTTCTTGCTGAGTTGAGAGATTCTGTTCATTTTTCTTCGAAACAATTGCAGATTTGTGAAAAGGAATTTTATAGCTGGACGATACAGACATTGGTGCAGGTTTCAGACCCAAATTTGCAAACTGTGGCTTATTCGGTGTCGGTTCTTTCATTATCGGTCTTTGAACAGCATCAAGTCTTGTTATATTTTTCACCCAAGTTTTGTCAACTTTGCTTTCGTGTTTTTTCGCTTTTACTTCGCCACCAGTCGACATTGATTGTGTATTCTTGATTTTATCAGCCACTGTTGGTGTTGTATTTTGCCTTGGGGTTGTGGTTTGTTTTTTATGAGTCTCTGACCTAGATTCATCCTTTGCAATATCCTTCACTTTTTCATGTGTGCTTTGTAATGAGAAATCCATATTACTTTGTGTTCTAAATTTCCCGTGGAGTTTATGGTTTTCAACTATGTTTGCTTTATTCCACTCTTTTCCGGGGTAATGGCTTATTTTCCACCCATTATTTGACCCTCCAATGCCTCGATTGTTCTTATTAACATTCATAAGGTTTTTATTCACTTTTATTTTTCGTCGAATTATAATCTTTTTAATTATAGTCTTAACTGGACCCTGCTTTTTATTTCTGATCATAACCTTCTTTATTATTTTGTTTGTGTGAGGTTTATATTGTTGAATGTCTTGTTTTGCAAACACTTCTTTTCGTGGTAACTTCTGTGCTTGCTTTGTTTTAAGCTGGAGATTTGCTTGCGAAAACACGGGTGCTTTGAACCTAAAACTGTTGCTGGAGAAGGCGAACGTCTTTGGTTTCGAACTTTTTAGATGAGTGCCGATTTCCTTCATAGACACAGGTTGTGCTGGTGGTAAATAGGACTTGAATGACGGTTTCCCAAACTTGGCACTGCTTTTGGATATTTTGGCTTTGGCATCTAGAATTTAAAATCAAGCAAATTTTGTTAATCGTCTATATTGAATACTTCTTTCAGCGAAAGAGTCTCACAAACTATTGTGAGTTAACAAATACACACATGTTTAAATTCTTGCATCTAGCATTTTTGGCGGATGCAAGATCTAGAGCAATGAAATCTTTTTTTCTGGAAAGGTTTTTATGTACAAGAAGATCTAAAAATGAAACTAAAAAATCGAATTCATAGTCTTAATTTTCTTTTCCAAAATTGTAAGTAAAAGTTTCTCACAATGAATCCCATTTTAATCATTTAAAAAATATAATCTGGAAAGAATAGCTAAAATAAATTTATCGCAGAAAATGGCAAGAAAAATTAAATTTTGGTCTAGTTATGTAGATATTTAAATGATATCTGAATGCATAACAAAACCATAACCAACGTTTAAGAGGCATTTTAAAATATTTCATGTTGCTCTTTATGCAATTTATTTAAAGAAGATAATAAACTTAAAATATTTAAATCAAAGGATTCCTACCCTGGATAGCACGTGTTGCTTCGGATTTCTGATCTGATATGTTGTTAGGAGCACAGTTAATACAAACAGCAGCAAGAAGGATAAAAAGGAAATGCCACTGGACTCTCATTGTGATCTAAATACAAAATAAATCAGAATCTTAGTTGTTATAGAGATCTGTTTCAATCACTATTGAAATAACAACTACTAACCACTATTAAAAGAATTATTTCAATAGTAGTTAAGAGTGCATTTCAAAACCAAGCACAGGTTGTAACGACTGTTGAAAATAATCGTTCACTGTTGAAATAATTTCAAAACCTAAACCATGTTGCAGCCACTATTGAAATAATGTTCATTTTGAAATGCACTCTCAACCACTATTGAAATAATTATTTCATAAACAGTCGTTATTTCAGTGGAGATTGCAACATACCTCGGTTTCTTTTTTAAAAACATGGCTACATTTTTCTTGTGCATGGTGATAGGAACATGTACAAGATTTTTGCAGTGCACCTTTCCCAGTGATAATTTTCCGAGATTTTCTTAATATAAAATCAAAGTATCATTAGATGCCCTTGGACACAAAATCAGCATACATTACCAGACATTTGAAGCATATTTCAACTGATGAAAATTCTTGTATTTTCAAAGAAAAAGTTACTGAAGATTAAAATTAATCAGCTTGTTTTTTCTTATTTATTTCAGAAAAGATCTACAGCATTACCATGCAGGAATAATAGAATTGCCCAAAGATCCTTCATTTATTGGAGCTATTAAATTACGCAGGGAATAAGACAATATAAAGTTCAAAACCACGTTTCTTATGTCTTAAACTGCTACATCGCTTTTGATCAGTCTGTCTATCTGTAACGTATGTCCTATTTTATGCATACTTGGAAGTTTTATAAATCTGTATCCTGCATATGCATGTGAAATAATACATGCATGTACATGTACATGTATGATTAATTTATCAAACCTGCTGATTATTCCATTGACAGATGACCTAGACAGTATAAAAATGAAATTTACATAGCAGGTGACATTCGTAAAACAGGAAATGTGTGCACTCTTTGATATAAACAGTGAGTAATGATCATCCATAAACCCGAAGATTGTTCGCATGCACAACTCATAAAACATAAACATTCCAATCGCTGAGTAGGTCATTGATAATTATCAGAAATAAGAAATAGAATGGACGTTTGATTATCTTTATTCATTTATTTGTTTAATCATTTGTTTATTAATCCATCTGGGTTTTTTTTTTTCTTTTTTATTTTCGACTACATATCAATAAAAGAAAAAGTTAGAAGAAATTTACTATTATATGTGTTTGATATTTAATGGTTTATTTATGCATTTGCAAAAAAGTTTTTTTTCTAAAAAAAAAAAAAATGAAAAAAATGTAGAAAATGTTCAGAAAGGATAGACCTGAATATTTCTAAATTAAAAAAAGTTACACAAATAAATAAAAAATAAGGAATAATTATTTTCTCAAATAGCCTTAAATGAAATATTTTTTAAGTACAGCTCTCTTTACCTTTGGCGTCCAGAGAATTTGACTTAAAACAAAATTCAACAATAAAACGTCTAAAGATAGATATTTGTCATGAATACAACATGTAGGTGACATGAGTTAATGAAAATAACAAATTGATGTTATAAATTAATAATGACCAAACTGCACGAGCGTAACCTTATTCCACTGGAATTAATTTGTAGTTTATGATGACATTAAACAAGGTCGGCGTGAGGCCAAAACATAACATCTAAGGTCGGCACGAGCTCACCAGAAAAAACAACAAAAGAGTCATGCATCAGAATGTTCAAACGCGACCAAGTCAGGAAAGAGAAATAAAATAATTACAAATCTAATGGTTTTTCAAGATATTTTACGCATAAGGTTGTCATCTGAATTTTTCATCAAGTAAAAAATGACTGACGTGGATCGTTGTCTTACATTAACTTTGTTAATAAAAACTTCAAAAGTTTGTACATGGATTTGTTCACGTCATAGATGCCATTCAAGCATTTTTCGCATTTTATTTCGAAGAGGAGAAAGCGTAGACCTCTTAAAAAAACCCATCTATGGTAGCCAAGGGATTCTGATACTCTCGCAATTCTGCTTAAAAATCTTTGGGTTTGCAAGGAACATGAGGAATGTAGATTAGAGACCATAGATAGAAATCTCAGCCAGATTCGTCTACACCAAAACTTTTGGACAGACGTCTCTTCCGAAAGATTTCTAACTCATATTCAAACAATTAAAAAGGAGAGGTCTCAGAAAGAGGAGTTTTGAGGTCTCTGGTTTTATTCTACGCTTTAAACATAACCGGAAGTTGAGGTATCTGTAAAGACTTTAAATATCATAAAGTAATTTCAGTAACGATAAGAAGGCTTCAAAACGAAGGACGTTTGGAACGGTTTGTTTGAAAAGAAAAAAAGTATCTAGAAGCGAACTGTTTATGTTAAAGTAGGATTATAACTGAAAAAATTAGTAAATTTTTACTTTTAAAGCAATATGAGCTGTAGTGTGCATTTTGAAAACTTTTATTTTGTTGTTAAAATGTGTTATTATGATAAATTTGTATGTAACTTGAACCGTAATGATCAATTAAAATAAAGCAGAAAAAAGACTTCTATATACAATCCAATACATAGTTTTATATGAGAAGTCATTATTGTATACAGAACGACAATAATGCAATTTTGATTTAATCGAACTTATAAATGGTTCTTTCATAGCAAATATGACATATTATGAACAACAGAAGTTTATTAACACTATTTCTTTGGTCATTGAAATAGTTATTTACAAATTTGCAACAAAAAATTCTGACATCAAAGTTGCAGCTCATATTGCTGTAATCGGGGACGTCTAAAACTGAGTTATATTCCTTGTGTTAAGAGAAGGAAAAGGTAGCCTGGCTGACCCCTGAATTACCTGAATAAATCTACTACTACTACTACTACTACTACTACTACTACTACACCCATATACGAAACTATGGCTTAAAAATGACCCGTATACGAAACTAGGGCATGTGAGGAAAACTACATATGTATTACTATTTTGATATGCTAGCTACCTGGTCTCCTTTTCAAACCAATTGCAAGTGTTCGAATGGAATTCAGACATATTAATTTAAAATATGGCGAAATCATTCAAGTAATAATTTGTAGACCATATAGTTCTGCAAATCATATTAATTTTAAAATTACGAACGCCACAGTCAGGATATAAATAAATGGTTTCCAATAAATCCATACAAATGCACATTAATGTAATTTTTTTCATTGTTCTTCAAAACATAACCTCTACTTCAATGATAATTAAATGTAGATCAGGGTCCTTTGATTTACTTTGTGCTTGTTTAAATATAACTCGATCCTAGTTAATTCCAACACTGTTTTTATTCTTTATCTTTTATAAAGAAAATGGTTAAAGGTTATGGACTCATTCCTGTCCTTGGGACTCTGTTGCTTTTGTTCGCATGGACATGCATGCAGTTTGATTTAGAAACTTAATTTATTGTGATTTTTTAATTAACCGGGTGGTAGTAAATTACTACCACCCGGTAAGTTCAAAAATTGCAATCTTTATGACCTATGGATAAACTCCTCTTTGTTTTAGTCTTCATGCATATGTACTAATGAAGAATGGGAAAGTACATTTAATATACATTAGTATGTGTATGGTATATTTGTCCTTTAAACGAACTCGTATGTAAAGTGGTAACTCTGAATATGGTGTAAAAAAGCATGCATAACTGTAGAAAATGTGAACTTTTTAGGTGTATATAGAATACGTATACATGTAACATTTATTTTGCTTTGGCATAAAATACAATGCTACAAGCAATTACAGTCATAATTACCCTCATCAATATTCAGAGATCCATCATAAAACCACAAAAATTACAGGCACACTCCCCATGTAATAACATTTCCTTCAATGACCAACTCTCATATGTCCACATACATAGGTCCCGCCACAAAATCCACAAAGGGGACTCCAAAGATGCAACGATATCACTAAGTTTTTCTGTAATTATGCTAACATAAATTGTATGTTTTATTATTATCTATAAGCAGGTTTATGTTCAACATCAGTCTTTTTTAAGCTTACAGTGGAAGCCATTAGATCACGTGCTTCGTGCCTGCCAGCACAATTGAAGGCAAATTCCTTGTAGAGATATTTTTATCTGATTATAATTAAATTGTTTCTCAATTACTTTTTAATATAAAAAAAAGTGTAAGATACTAAGTAGTCAGATTTGAGGAATTGAAAATGCTCACAATAAGTCTGAATTCTTAAATGCATGTGCATGAACCCGTTGTCTTTCCTCAAGGTTTTCTTTAATAGCATTTATACAACTTAAATCATCAAATATCTTTTTTTCTTGTTTAATTACACGATAAAAGCATCTGCTCTGATTTTGATAATAGGTATCCAGGATTTTAGAGAAATTCCATATTTATATACGGTATTTTAATTAACATCAACTTTTTGTAAGTCTAAAAAGAACCTTAAATCATATTAAGACAAATTGCACAAAAAGATTTTAAGTTTAAGGACATTTTGAGATCTAGGCTTCTTCAGAATAATAATTTTAAAGAATTTCCTGTGTGACTTGGGGGAAGATATTTTTCGCCCCATAGACCGTGAGGACAGTTTATTTCAATTTTGCATGCGACAAAAGTCATTTAAAAGCTAAAAGGTAGATATTGACTGCATGCACTTGCATTTCGGAGGGCACAGACTTATGTGTATCGGTACTGTATCTTTATTTAATGCTGCATGTCGAAAATATACACAGTATCGTTTAAACTGCGCATCTGTAAAAGTGATATTTTGAATTTTTTAAACAGCAAAAGAGACACACTAACCGGGTCACCTTGAGGAATGCCAATATATACACAAAATATAAACTGATAAACTTCTTGTCTGATACCTGAAACACATAAATCCTTGTGCTAATAATGTTCTGATCTAGATTTATTTTTCTCTTTATTTGACCACACTGCATAATTAATCAAGGATTAATGCTGATATGGGTCTTTCGTACCAGTCGATCGGGTAATAAAGAAATACTTGTTTCATAATAATCGCTTTCTGTCGGTGGTTTCTCCACACGAA